ATATATATATATATATATATGTATATCTTCACCAGTGTACAACAATTTAATTAAAAATCCACTTTAAAATGTTTCACGGTAATGAAAACGAGTTCAATTTCATCGAGCGAGTAATTTAAACGATGTTTTAAAAGCCAAACGTTGATCGAATTGGTTCGAGAATGTTTCGTGCGAAATTCGCTTCGTCTTCCCCTTTGACGAGGCGCGAATGAAAGTCGAAGAAATAATTAACGGAAAAGTGTGGGAAGGAAGGGCGAGAGAGGCGTGGAGAAAGGAGGATAAAAAGAAGGGATTAAAAGAGATTATTGCATCGTATTAACGATACTACCGTGGTAATTCCGATTTCAACGTTGAACGCGCATTAATTAACGTGTACACAATTTCTTTTTTTTACTGTCACTTCGTTAAATTACTTGATATTTTAACGCGTTAATTCAGACTTATTTACCGATATCCATCGACTCTGTATCATTTCCAACGCTTTCCCCATAAATTAAACGAACTTTTTCGAGCTGCTGCTCTATTTCGATTATATTTTCAATTAAACGAAGAAACGAAACGATCCACTAAAGCTACGCTTCAACGTTCCTTTCTCGATAACTTTGATCTCGATGTCGATCCGCGAACAAAAAAATTTTTGAACGTGGCGCAAGACAAAGACTGGCGAAGAAAACGATCTTCCAAAACGACGACAAATTACTATAAACGATCGAAAAGAGTTGGAGTCCCCGGGGGCGCGTTAAGCACGGGATCGAAGCGAAGTTTTTTTCAGATTATCGAGGCGGTTCGCGACGCGGCACCATCGAGCATAAATCCGCTGATACGAGCGGGGATTTTCTTTTCTTTTCTCTCTCGAGCCATCGAGGAGAGAGGTTGTTGGAGCTAGTTCAAAAGATTGGAGATAAAGCATGCGGTGTAGGTGCGAGGAGAGTGTGGGCTGTCGGTGCAGTTGCAGCTGCCGTTGCCGCAGAATCGCCGCAGGGGACGGAGGGGGCTGGACGTGACCGGTGACTCGAGACACGACCCGACCACGGATCACGTTCGACGAGCGTCCAATTTTCTACGCTTGACCCCGCTTCACGGAGGACCATCGCTCGGGGAAACGGGAATGTTTTCATCGCTTTTCGATTCATCCCTTCCTTCCCTTCGAAGGCCATTGGAATAATAATAAAAAAAGGAAAACGGAGGAATTAATAACGAACCAGGCGTACGACAGGTTTCCTTCGAAGGAAAGTAATTTACACCTGTCAGACTTATTCGAATACATCTCCTCGAATTTTTTTCTTCACAGATCTCGAGGAAGATCGACACGATCGAATCCAAGTCGTTTCGAGTTTCCCAATAAACTCGCGATCACGCGACGAAACGCGCCCGATCAAATCTTCCATCCACATTTGCGTCGCCATGAGATATGAGAGGCACAAAAAAAACACCGGAAATTGCTCTTTACCGACGCGCCCCCTCGTCCCCCAATCGTAGAAAAACTCGTTTTACCGTCGACTCGATTTCAACAATGTGAGTCGAGACATTCGTGACTCGATTTAATCGAAGGGAGGGCAAGATCGGCGAAACGAACATCCTCGTTTCCCTCGTTTCGCCGCGTCCGCGTCCCGAGGAAAAACGCGCCACAATCTCGCGGGGATGAAACCCCCTTTTTGTCCACGCTGCCCGTGTTCGTTTATTCACGAAGCACAAAATGGAAGAGGGTGAAGTACGTTGGTAAAACTGTCCTACATACGCGAATCGGATATAGGCGCGGCTGTAACTTTCATCACGAGGGTGAACAAAAAGAGGGGAAAGAACTTTGACTTCTTTTTTTTCTTAGGAAGAACGGATATAAAGTCACGGATACGGAAATTGCACGGATGGACGTCGTGTCTATCGACCAGTGTAACGCTTATGAAAAAAGATAGCTCACCTTCCAGATTCGCCATGGAGAACCTATAGCTGTCGATCCTCGGCGTGTTGATGTCCGAGTTGAAAGGCCTGAGGGTCGCTGAGCTCACATTGTCCAGACCCTGGAACAACATCGATTGATCGTGACGTTAGCGGGTGAATCGATCTTTATTTGCGCGCTTCGAAGTGGCTCGGATAATTCGGATTTATTCTCGACGCGTGCGAGATTACAAATACGAATTTTTTTCCTTCTTTCCTTCCTCTCGGCCAGTTCTCAGCTGTTTCCGGTACAGAAATAAATCATTTACCGGGGCGTCGATAATCGAGCACGTTCCACCAAGGAAACAGTACCAACTCCCCACCCCTTGCAACCGAACCAGAGCCGAGGACGCGAGCTGAATTCGTCGTTTCTCGCACGAATCGCCGATATTTCTCGCCGCAACCCGATAATCCGCTCGAGATCCTTTTACGGCCAGACTCGGCTGGAAATGCGATTTGCGCGAAACCGTGGTGTGGCTCACTCAATTTCCTACGATGATGCCTTCTCCCCCTCCCTCCCTCCTGCCCTTCGATCGATCAATTCCACCAAGCTTCTCTGAAATTTCAAGACGGGCCAGCCACTTCGAGAAAGGATTTTGTTTGGAAATCGTAGGTGAAGTGGAAGGTTGTTCTCGTTTCGCAGAATGCAATGATAACGTTCCTGCTCCCCGCGTGTCGTGAGGTGGCGAAACTTGTCTCTTAAAGGGACGTGTTTGCGCAGAGAGCAAGTTTGCACGCTTCCTTTACAACGGTGCTCTTCATTTCGAAAATAATGCACGTTTTCATAGTCAAACAAAATACGAAGAAGAGTCGTAAAGGAATAATCGCACCTTGTCAAAATGTTGCAATCTTTAATAATTTCTATCGAATCGAGCTGATATCGGAATTCTATCAGGGAAAATAGTTTAAAATCTTCTTCTTCTTCTTCTTCTTCTTCTCCTTCCTCTCTTTGGCGGTGGCGCACAGCCAGCGGACTTCCGCGTTTTCAACCATTAGCCGTAAATAATGCGAGAACCGAGTCGGTCGCTCGGTCGTGTGTACGTGTATGTGTGTGCATGTAACCGTTCCACGGCGGTTAATCAAGCAACAGCTCCACACGGTGGACACACAATGCCTTCGGCTTCGACCAACCTGTACACACACGCGTCTATATACACGCGCGTAAATATATATATATATATACACAGAGGAGGAACACGAGGCGAAACGTTCTAACGGATAGGAGAAAACTGGGCACAGCCGTGTTGTGTGTACTCCGTGTGTACACGTTTCGCTACGCCTGATAGATCGCCTCCTCTCCGTCCTTCGCCCCTGTCCAACCACGTGACCGGAGGGCAGGCACACGGGATCTCACGCGGGACGTGTGTGTGTGTGTGTGTGTATCGGCGATTCTTCGATGGCTGGCTTCGATGGTCGAGGCGGGGTAAGTTGCAAACTGATGGGGTGAAATGGTGGCGTGTGCGGCGTCCAATGCTTCGTGACGGCTTTACCGAGCGATAACGATACGTGAAAGAGACTTTTTTTCGCACCAGGGGATCAGGGGATTCGAGGCAGGTCGATGATGCGTAGTTTTCTCTTTCTTTTCTCTCTCTCTCTCTCGATTATTTACCCAGGCAACGAACCGATTTTAAAGCTTTTCTCCATCTTCGCGGATTTCAACTTTGCCGATCGATTAATTTTTAACCTGAAAGCAACGTTCGACGATATCGATCCTCGCTTCGAATACGCGTGTAAGAAATTTTAGAAAGAAGATAAGCGCAAAAGTGTAAAATGAAATATTCTCTGTAAAGGGAGGAGTATAAAGTGGCGATAAAACGCGGAAAAAGCTGTTGTGTTTCGAAGAAAAATTGTTCATTTTCGAGTTCACCCAAGTGCATCGAGCCCCGATAAATCGCTTAAGTACAGAGAGAGAGAGGGAGGGAGGGAGGCGCGTTACATCGATGGCTTCTCCCGTCGACGACGAGTCGACGAGCCAAGCGTGGGTGTGAATGTGGTGAACGACCCGGTAACCACCATTCGGCCAACAGGCACAACAATTAGATCCGACCGGATAACCCGAGTCTTCCTGTAACGCGAAACTCGTCCACGGTTATAACGTTGCTCGTATCTCGCGCTTCCCGGACCATTGTCACGGATATTTAGCGGATGTTATTGAAGTTCACGCGGCCAGATCGCCGATAGGCCAGGGAGGCCAACAAATTTCTACGCTTGTTCCGCTCGTTGAGGAGTTAATCGATCCGCCAACGATCCTCGAAACGGCCGCGTGGGAGTGAAGAAGCGGGAGGGGAGGGATTCGAATCGACTCAGATCTTATCCTCGAAGGAATCGAGTTTCTCCGAGTCGGGAGGAGGATACGTACAGTCGAAACGTCGGTGAGTTTAATTTATACCGATTTCAAGCGCCGATATCGTAGCCGATACGATCGATTTATGCACGTATCGAACTGGGTCAAATCGACGATCGTCTCCTATCTCTTCTTTCTTTCTTTGTTTTCTCTTCTGATTTCGTGAAAATTTCGCCAATAGGCACGTTGGCGACGAGTTACGAAACCGCATAAACGGTCACGGAGTGGAGGAAGACGCTGGAAGCGTTCTCGAGAGGGCAGGCAGGAAAAAACTCCCTCGAGACGTGTTCTCCACCGATGATGAAATAATTTGTGCGCGCTCGCCCTTACATTTTTCATGGCCACGGGCTCTCTTCCGGGCGGCGGAACGGCCGAGTGAAAAGAGCAGAAAAGCTCGCACTAGCCGAGTGTCGGTTCACCCGTGCAAAGAGCGGGTTTACTCTCGACTACTACTACGCTTTCCGGCCCTTTCACGCTGCCCTCTCGAGGACTCGCGCTTTTCCCCCGCGAAAAACCCAAAGGAGAGAGGAGAAGAAAGACCGGCTTGCCGCCAATTTATTCCCCTCTTTATCGCCAAGCGATAAAAACTCGCTTCGAACTTTTCGATTTAACCGAAAGCAATAACCATCCGAGATTAGTTGTCTCTTTCTCTCTCTTTCGACTCGAGCGAGAAACTTTTCACGTTGGAGCGGTCTTGAGAGGGAGACATTAGGGAAACAGCGCGAAAAATGGCCGGGAAGAAGGTTTAAAAAAGTTTGAAGGGTATACTTTGCGTAAACTCGCGTTGCCAAGATAGTGGCAAGAATTCTTCTTCCTTTTTTTCCAATCCTGTCGACTCCCTAAAGATACATGTAACAAAAATTTTCCATTCGAATGAGAATGTGAATAGCTGCTCGATGTATAAGCGCGCTTAATCGAGATGCACGCAAACAATGCGCGCCTCGCGATATTTCGGCCCATCGAGTAAGAAAGCGTGTTCCTCCTCCCAGAGGAGGATGGCTCGTAAAATTGTCGAGAGAGAAGAAAATCGTGGCAACAAATTAAACGCGACTTGGACCATTTCCATCTTATGGCTTACGAGAAAGAAAAAGGGGGTTCTCTCCTAATCCTAAATCTTGATCGCGTGAAAGATGGAGAAATTCCGAGTTTATTCGCCCGATTTTTTTTTAGGCCGGATTAAGGGGTTGGAACGAGGATAAATAGGAGTCACGTTTCGGGGAAACTCGATGTCGCTCGAATTCGGCTACAAAGAGGGGAAAAAAGTAGCACGAGTTCGTTTAATCCTCTTCTTGGCTCCGGATACGAAGAGATTGGTTTCTTCTCTCGCGCGAGAAAGATGCGTGATTTGTCTCCGTCCGGAAGAATTGCCGAAGAATCGACCTTTCTCTTTCCGATTGGAACGAGTCTCAGTGCCAAAATTCGTCGTTTCCACGAATCATCGAATTTGTTAGCGTCGAGTACTTCGAGAGGCGATTAGGTTAAAAATATACGAAAGATATTTTTTAATCACGAATTTGGATAAAGTGCGTAAGCTTCTTGTAACATCGTATAAAATAACTCGAATCCTTTTGAAAACTTTTCAAGTTGATAAATTGTAGAAAAAGTGGAAAAATAATTAAAATGATGGATTCGCTGAGAGGTTCCAAAAGACTGTATTGGGAAGAGGAATATAGGGAGAAAATGTCTCGCTCATTGAGGCCATGTTCCCGCGAGATGGTCACGCGTTACACGTAACGTTGGCGTTTTAAACGCGGAAACCGGTTAGGGAAGTATATAATCGTGCACGCGTTCGCGGAGAGCCTATAGAGAGGAAATCGAGTTACAATTTCTAGGAACCCGTTCCACCTGAGAGAGCTCGACTTCTCTCCTACTAATACACGCATAATTTCGTCTTCCATTCTATTCGTTTCCTATCCCTTTATCCCGGCGCGTTATTGTTCTCGGCTCGGGGCAACAAGGGCCGCGACCCGGCCGATCGAATGTAAATTTTTCCACGGGACGATGGACGATGGTTGGCGCAATACTCACGTCCTCCTGCGCCTTGTTGTGGCTTTTCCATCGGAAAAACCTGTCCATTTGGCGGCCTTTGCCTCGTTCACATCTTCCAACAGCAATTGCCTCTTCCTCCTCTTTGGTGATCGTCGTTCGCGAAAATCGGTCGGACGGGCGAGTAATAATCCACGACGATTATCCCCGACATAGTAGGCGAACGATCGTGGGAAGGGATGGAAGAAATCGATCTTGGAAAATTCCCAGTTAACTTGAGATCACAGAAACGGGAAACGAGATCGTTCTCGCTTCGAATCGATCTTGGATCCCTCCTCGATCGAGGCTAGGAAGGATAGGAGAGCATGGCACGAGGAGGAGGGTAAAACACCGTGTACCTGGCCGAGGGATCGTTTAGCAACGATAGTCATCGCGGGGGACGGGGATCATGGGCCTTCGTTCTCAACAACGTCCAACCTCCTCTCGAGCGAGGACAGGGCTAATGAAATCATCGGTCCGCTCGGATTTCCTCCCGCGCCGACGGCGTGTGCGATTTCCGGTGATGGGACAGCCCGTACAGGAATCGATCACATCGATCTCACTTCGACGTACGATCCAATGATCCTCCTTCCGAATCTAAGAGAGAGAAACTGCCGACAGCATAGTTTCGCCAACCGATCGACTCGAAATCGCACTCAAATTTTCTAGAAAGAAACGTTTTCTACTAGAATTCTTCGTCCGCCAATTCTTTTT